AGGAAGTGCTTAAGTTTGTCAAAATTTTTATTTATGCTTCTTATATTTATGTGAACTACTGTAAAATTATTTTTAATAGTTTCAAGTTCAGTTTTAAAAGTTTCAGTTTTAACATATCGAGAATCAAAATAATTCATTTGAAAAATATGCGTATCAGCGTCAATGAGTATATTATTAGCAGTTTCGAAAACATTAAAGCGCATTGATTCAAAATCTATTGTTTTGTTGTTCATTGTTTTAAAATTTAAAATTGAAAACGCGCTTAACTTAGTTAAAAAAAAGTGTAGCGCTATTTTTTAAAATCTCGTGTAAATATTTTATCATATTTTAAAATGGCGTATTTACCTTCGCTTCTTAGTTTTTTTACTTCTTCCCATAACTTTCTTCGATGATATATTGTTTCTTGAGCGAAATCTTCATTTATGTATAGTCCAGTTCCTTTAAGTTGTTTTACTGCTTTGAGAATTTTGTTTTTGTCTTGGTAGTTCAAGAGTTTTAAGACTAATGTTCTTGGTTTGTTTTCTTTAAATTGTCCGATTCGATGAGCTCGTTCGACCACCACTTCACTAGGTATTTTCAATAGTGTTTTGAAAATGTCTTTAACAGTTTAACATATAATTATTAATTACCAAATGATTATTAATTATTGTTAATGTGTATATATCTTATAATGTTAACTTTTGAGGATTTTAATTCATTATAATCTAGCTAGAATTTTTAAATTTTAGGTTTAATTCAGTGATGAATTTCATTAATATACAAAATTAATATAAGTACGAGAGAGTAGCAAAGTAAAACAACAATATCCAAAAAGTAAATGCACCCCTATCAAAAAGTAAATGCACCCCTATCAAAAAAAAATGCAACCCTATCAAAAAGTAAATGCAACCCTATCAAAAAGTAAATGCACCCCTATCAAAAAGTAAATGCACCCCTTTCAAAAAGTAAATGCAACCCTATCAAAAAGTAAATGCAACCCTATCAAAAAGTAAATGCAACCCTATCAAAAAGTAAATGCAACCCTATCAAAAGTAAATGCAACCCTATCAAAAAGTAAATGCACCCCTATCAAAAAGTAAATGCACCCCTATCAAAAATACAAAAAAAGAATAAATAAGTATTATATTATCCATTATAATTAAATTAACAAATACTAGCAGTAAAAATACAGGTCTTTACCAAACCGACTATTTCTATGCTTATCTATTCCACACCGATCATTTCTATACTTATTCCTTATTTACTTCAATATTTTTTAATCAACAGTACAAGAACAATCCATTAAATTACTTTAGAAGCTTAAAAAAATTAAATACGCATCTTTTCCGCATACGAAAAGCTTATAAGAAATTTATAAAATGGTCTCATATGTATAATTTTGATAGCTCAGTAGTAAATTCATCGGTGTCGTTTTGCGAGGGTTTAAATCCGCCTCATAATACAATACATTTTTCAATATGGCCGTATATATTTATAGCAAAAAAGACTTTTAATTGTTAAAATAAAATTTAAAACTTTTTCTAGCTACTCGGTATAGTTAAGGCACTTTTAAAATATTATAGTGTCTGTATGATATTTTGTTGATTATGACATATTTCCGTGAAATGGTGTGGTCAGTGAATTATGAAAAGACGAAAAAAATTAAAATAATAAATTTTGCGGTATCATAAAATATAAATGTTTGTAGCGAAAAAACCCAGACCGTGGAATCTTTTTTTTTTTAAAAAAAATCATCTTAAAATCACAATCGCTCGTCCAAATTTAAATAAGATTTTAAATTAATACGTTTTTTAGGTGAAATAAACATTATAGTTTAACAATATGATCTGTTCTGATCGTTTATTGGCAATTATTTATAATTATAAGCTCTTTCTTGGTCGGAATTCCAGTATTTTTTGTGAAAATTGATAGAAATATTGTGTTTTAACAATTATATATAGTTAATATACGTCAGAACTGATTAGAACTAGGATCAGTAAATTAAGTAACTTTTTAAAAAGATTTCAACTAAATTCATGTTAATGCCGATGAGCGGAATTGATCTAAAGACTCCAAAATAGTGTTCTTTAGATACATTATTACGGGTTGTAAAAAGATTTTAAAAATTATATATAAAAAAAGAAAAGTTTCTTTAAATATTATAAAAACCTTAAGCAAAAAAAATTATAACATTTAAAGATCTTGTTTGGGCATAATATGCTGACAAAACCTTGCTAATTCCAAATAAAAGTATTCAAATATTTTGTAATTCGCCTAAACTACACCGAGTACGAGCAAATTTTTTTTTTTTTTTTTGCTTTTACAGCAGTACCTTTAGGAGTAGCAGGATGGTCTTTTTAATTTTTTTTTTTGTTAAGTTTCAAACTATAAATTTATTTTAAACTATCTGCAGTTTATTAGAACTTTTACCTGAGTACGTGAATAACATAAGTCTGTATCATGACAAATGTGCAACAAATTTCCACCGGTGTTTTGATATTTAGAAATTTTAATTTTTTTTAAAAACACCGGTGGAAATTTGTTGCACTTTTTCAATTTGTCGAAGTCAATTTTATGCCACTCAATAATAATTTTTTCCATATCTTTTGCATCAATAGATATTAACTTTTGACATTATTTTTAATTTATCACAAAAAAATCCGATAGGAAAGGATCTGGTGATTAGAGAGGTTAAATCATTCTATTCAATATTTAATCGTTCTCGAACTCAGTCAAATAACTAATACAATGTTCTGAAAAATATGTTTTGAATTTAACCTTTAAATCATTTTCTTCTATAAAGATAAATGGCTTCCATTAACCTCATTTTCCGAAGGTATTACATGAGTTTTTACAAGTGTACAAGTGAACTACTTTTGAATGTTATTATTTCCTCTATTATTACAATGTCATCTGTGGCATTCCAACCAAAACAGCCCCACACCTTAACATTGAATCCACAGTCTATGATACACACTGTTTTATCATACATTCAACGATTTCTTTTTAAAACTATCTTCTGTTGAAACCAAAGATTAAAAATTTCGACATGCCGGTCCGATGCTCAATCTAACATTTTAAATATTTTAATGATTTTTATCAAACACTTTAATCAAAATACTTTTAAGCTTTTTAAATTATTTTAATAATAAAAAAACAGCAACAACAACAAAAAACAACAACATAAAAATTGCTTGTTCGATAGAGAGCTCTGGTATTGTTTTATTACCATATTAACAGTAGTTTTGCTAGATTCAGATGCTTTTGTAGATTATCTATTTGTTTCGATGATATATTAGTTAAAAGAAATATCATTACTCGTTTGTTTATGTTTTCAATTAATACTATTATTACTTAATCTAATTACGTAATAAATATATATATATATATATATATATATATATATATATTAAAATGTGTCAGTAACAAGTTTTAAAACGAAATTCATCGTTCCGAATTTAACAATCGCATATTTTAAGCATTTACATTTTTATTTACAAATATCAATTATTGCATCTATTGAATCTTGATTGAATGCGCTAAATTTAACATATAAATAAAAGTGATCTTACAACTTGCACAAAACTTTGCGAATCGTCAAAAAAAGAAACCCATTGAACTTCTCGGTGGAGAAAAATAAATTTCATGCTCTGTGGTTCTGCCTTCTTTTTGCTATCTCTCCCAGGTGATGGAGAGCTCAGATGATGACTCTGCTTATGTTGTCAAACTCAAATTTACATTCAGAACGGACCTAGAGACACGCACGGAAAATGCCAACATTGCATATTTAAAGATCGCAACCACATTGGACCCGAGATTTAAAGACCTCAAGTGTATACTCAGAACTGAGAGAAAGTGATGTGTTGGCCTCAGTCATTAACTCACTCAAGAAACAGATGGTTATTAAAGATGATCCTGTGGAAGCAACGACATCAAAGCCATCAAAGATAAAGTTTTCTCTATTGGTTACTTTATCAGAGTTTGATTATAAACACGAGGAAGATTCAATTGCAAACGGCATGCGTCAATACAGAGCAGAGCCCACCATCAGTAAAGTGGCCTGTTCATTACAGTGGTGGTCCAAACATGCAAGCTAACACAGGAGGCTGGCCTAAATTACACTGAATTACTTAGCAATACCTGCAACATCCGTACCTTGCAAAAGGTTGTTTTTTCTTGCTGATCATGTTGTACAAAAGAAGAGAGTTTCCTTATCATCTGAAAATGTGAATGACCCTGTTTGTCTTAACAACTATCTAGGTGCTGATGAGTAAGTAAATATAAAGTTGAAAGAATGGATAAAGTTATTTCAAGTTTTGACAGAACTTATTGCATTTTTGTTCATATAGCAGAACTTTAAAATAATAAATTTACTCAACACACTACTTTTGATTTTATTAAATTTTTTTTTGCATTTCTGCGATTAATTGTGATTAATCGCAGAAAATTATGCAATAAATTGCGATTAAATTATTTAATTGTTGCCCAGCACTAATCTAAAATAATTAATATATATAGTCTAAGTCTTAGAGATTTGTTTTTCATTTTTAAAAATTTCATTTCAGATTCTCCCCGGTGGAAAATCGGCTAGCGAAAATTTAGTTATAATCGTTACGATAAAGACAGCGATTTGGCCACGAGGACAGCTAGCTTAATAAGCTAAAGATTCACAGGCTATCGTAATAAAATCGCTATCAAAAAAATTTTAGTATGCAGCCAACCAGCTATAAATTTGTAGATATTTTGTAGCTAACTAGAAAGCTACGACACATTGCTACAAAATCGTTATGTTTAAAGTTCAATTATTCTCATAAATATAATAGACTCAACACTAAAAATTGAATTTTTAAAGATGTTAGAGACATTAGTAAAGAATAAAATAAAAAAATCGCTTGAAAATCGCTATAAAGCTAGCTAGTCGCTAGCTTTATAGCGATTTTCCACCGGGTCATTATGAAGCCATTTTGAAAATTTTTTATTTATCAATCTTTGTAGGACTGGAAGATAAATTACTTTCCTTGTTGGTTGAAGTATATTTTTTGTTAATATAATCTCTTTAAATTACATTACTTAAATAAGTAATAGTTTTGAATAAATAAAACAGAGATGTTTAAATAATTTTTAGAGAATGTTTAAATCAGTATTTGAGTGTTACGCGCAACCACATGCAGTAAGTTTCGAAAGATAATCATACGTTTTTTTCGATCTAAAGTAAAAAAAAAAATAATAATTAAAAAAAACACCAGGAAAATATAAAATAAGAAAAAAAATTACTACTAGAGTAACCAGGAAAATAAGAATAATAGAAAGAAAAAATATAACAAAGAAACATGAAAAGGAACATGGCATAAAAAAATAAAATAATAAAAGACACAAACTGTTTTTTTCTTAGTTATGTTTTTTTTTTTGTGGAAATACCTATTATATTAATTTAAACTGATTTTCTTTATGGTTTCGTTTTTTTCAATTTACAATTAAAGTTTAGTGATCACAATATTTTTTTTATTATCATTACAATTCTACTCTATAAATTAATTTTCTTAAGCGTTCTTATAATTAACATATAATTAAGAAATGGTAATATATAATTGAGAATAAATAAATTATAATTACGAACGCACAATGTAAGCTTACTGGTTATTATAAAAGGTTTTTTTGAACATGAATTTAATAAAGTTAATAATAAAAAATTTATCATTTGTATGCACCAGAAATAATATTGGAATTGAATAATCATTGTCTTAGGTGGCATCCATAATGTACGCACGCAGCAAAACCACTGGGTACGGATTCATAACTCTTGCGCAACTCTTACGTAGCTGGGAGCGTATTCATCAAACTTTTTTTTTTTCGTAAGTTAGGCGTAAGTTTGGCGTAAGTTCAAAACAGTGAAGCTCGTATTCACGAAACTTGCGCAGTTGCGTTTAACAAAACTCACGGAAGTTTTTTCGTAAGTTTAGCGCTAAAAAATCGGTATTTACCAGGCTGAAATGGTATTCACCAAACTTTTTAAAAAGTTACGTTAGCTATGAGCTGCCTTAACTTTGACGTAACGTTAAAATCACTAAATATTAGAAATGATGTAATATTATTATGATTCATATATTGTCAGATTGATATAGAATCTTATTATGAATTATAATATATACAATTTATGTATATAAATTGTATATATTATAATAAAGTTAACTATAATCATAGATATTAACACAAATATAAATGCCTCATAATAATTTAACAACTTATTAACTTAATAACATCTTAATATTTAGATGTTATATTATTATAAATTATAGTAAAAAAAACATCGCGTTTATAATAATAGTAATATAAAAGTATAAATTAGTATCTTAATATATTTAACGGAGTGTCTATTTTTCACGTGCGAATAGACTATATCTAATTATAGTCTATTCGCATGTTTAATTTAAAAAAGGTAAAAATCATCAAATTTAAAGGGAATTAAAAAAAAATTAGATTTAGTAATATTGGTTTTTAACTTTAAAATTAAACTAGCGCAGTGGAATACTAACGCAGTACTTACGTTGACGGATTTTGAAGGATAAACGCACCGTAGTGTATATATATATATATTGACTGCTTATCTAGGGATAGGCACAGTGTAGTATAAATACAATGAAGAGAGTTTTGGCATGGGCAGGCAATCTTTTAATTAAAAAAAAAATTTCTTAATGTTTATTTTATCTATTGGAACGTATTTGTTTTTTTTTGAATAAAAATTTAATTAATTTTTTTAAAAATAAAAGTAATTTTATTTATTTTTATTATAATTGATTAAAAAAATTAAATTTCTTTCAAAATATATGACTTAAGTTATAAACAATTTTTGTTTGTGAGAGATTTCATATTAAAAATTTAACTTGATTTTTTTTTTAAACGTGCGAATAGACTATAATAAGATATAGTCTATTCACACGTGCGTACGAATAGACTCACCCGATTATTATGATGTGATATTATAAATAAATGCATTATGATGTGATATTATAAGTTGTATGTTTTCTTGTATTTTAACTTATTCTCTATTTTAAAGTAATTCATAACTTAATAGTGGTTGCTTGCAATCTTGTTGGAAATAAATTAGATTTTAAAAATATATAAATATATGCCAGTATTTAATAAATAGTAAATGTAAGCAAAAAATTATAATATATTAGTATTATAATTTTTTTTTTAGTCTGGGTCTTAGCCCCTGCTAAACCTAATAACTTTGCTGGGGCCGGGTTTGCAAAAAGTCTCATATTCAGCTGGAGCCCTGGTCATTTACTAGTTTGAGATAGTTAACTTCCAGACATGGAGCAAACTCCAAACATTTGTATGTTTATACTTTTATGTCATCTGACATTGATGGCCATCAAAACAAAGATATTAGAACAAACATGTCACATATGGTCATCAGATAATCTGGTTGGATGAAACAAATTTTAACTTTTTTGTAGAAAAACGAAGGGACACCCCAAACAAGAAAAAAGAGCAATAATGAAAATACCTGCTTCAAAAGTAGGGTGTGTCGATTTTTTTTTTTTTTTAATTTCAAAAATGGCAGGGTTACTTTTGGTTAAGAATTTTACGGAGATTCCGAATCTGCAAAAAAAAAAAACAAAAAAAAACTTAAAAAAATATTGTCTTGCTGGGTGGGTCAGCGTTGTTTTGAATGGAAAAATGACTAAAATATGACTAACTAATAGGGTGAAACTATAATAAAAAAAAAAAAAAAAAAAAATTCTAAAATTTTTTATTAACTCAATAATTTTATTGTTGAATTTTAAGAAAACTGATTATTTGGTTCAACAAGTTATAAAAATAGAAAAAGCAGAAAAGGAGTTTTTGTGAAGGGTATTTTTACAAAAATCAGGCACTTTTTTCATATTTTAGACAAAGAATCTTACAGTAAAGTGTGTTGTTATTTTTTTGTTTTTATCAAACTTAAAAAGTAAAGGGAGTTCAATTTTATGGGGAATTTAAATCTGAATATATATATATATATATATATATATATATATATATATATATATATATATATATATATATATATATATATATATATATAATATATCAGCTATATCAGCAAAAAAAGTTGTCATGATAGAAAACCCCGTTTGGCCAGAGGCGGGTCTAGCCTTAAACTTTGATCTGAGTATGATAAATCTTAATTACAATTCTTAATTAAAATTCACAACTTTCATGTTCTCAATTACATGTTCTTTCATGTTCTCAATTACATGTTCTTTCATGTTCTAAATTAAATGTTCTTTCATGTTCTTAATTACATGTTCTTTCATGTTCTAAATTAAATGTTCTTTCATGTTCTCAATTACATGTTCTTTCATGTTCTCAATTACATGTTCTTTCATGTTCTCAATTAAATGTTCTTTCATGTTCTCAATTAAATGTTCTTTCATGTTCTCAATTACATGTTCTTTCATGTTCTCAATAACATATTATTTCATGTTCTAAATTACATGTTATTTCATGTTCTAAATTACATATTCTTTGATTTTCTCAATTACATGTTATTTCATGTTCTCAATTACATATTCTTTCATGTTCTCAATTACATGTTCTTTCATGTTCTAAATCACATGTTCTTTTATTTTCTCAATATCAAATTTACATAAAACCATGTCAGACTGTGAGTTCAGCTCAAATGGTTTTGAGAAAGAAAAAGATAATGATTTCCCATCAAGAGTTAAAGAAGAAACTCCAAAAACCTGACACTGTTCTACTTGCAAATAATATTCTCAAGAGAACTGCTGATACAGCTGTTGGGGAAGGAATAGGTCACAGACACCATAATTCTATACTTTAAAGTAAACATCTGAAATTGTAGCATCATTGCAAAAGGAAGAATTTTGTTTTATGGGGGCACCCATAAAAAATGTGCGCAGTAAAATCACTGATTAAGGACTCCCCCACTTAATGAAAATTTAGTGAAATTCAATGCTTTTGTTAAAAAAAAAAGAAAAAAAAAGAAATCTAGTCTTAGGAGAAATACAGAACAAAAGATAGTCAAACTACGTATGTCTTTGCTGTCTTTAACACCCCTTCCACTTGTACGCTTTCATACATCTTTGAATAATTCTCTCTCCCCTCATATCTGCGTACATACTTTATGGAAGACCCCTAAAAATATCAGTAATCGTTTACATTTTTAATAAATAATGATTATCTTATTGTGCTAGCTCTAGCTAATAATTTAATAAAACTTTATAACAGTATTAAGTAACTGAGACATGTAACAAAAGCACATTGAGGCTGTTGAGAAAAGATTCAAATAGAAGGGTAAAAAAGCCATAGTTAACATGTAAAATAAAATAAAAATAAGTATATTAAAAAAAAAAGAAGCCCCTATGTTCCCCCTAGGGACAGGCATGAGCAAATCAGCTGTGGTAACTATTCAATCACTGAATAGAATGGTACCATTAACTTCTGAAAAAAAGACAGAGTGCGTTTTCCTTATATGATGCCTTAAGTCACTGTTACCCAACCCCAAACAAAGCCCATCATAGCTTTATCCTATTCATGACTATAATATCTTAGTGAAACCTCTCTCTAAGCTCTTTAGATACTGCTCCTAAACTTGGTCTGAAGAAATTCAGATGATAGTGCGAAAAGTGCAGTGAAAAATCCAAAAGCGTGTAGTCTTCACTTCTGTTATTTTCTAGGAATCCATTCACTACATGTCTAAATGCCTACCATGCATTTTTTTTTCCGAACTAGACATTATAGTTTCTAAAGGAAGCTTTTACTAAGGGTATCCCGGATTTTTTTATTATCCAACTGGATATCAAAAGATATTCAAAAATTATCTGACTGAATAATGTAATTCAAATCTTAAAATTTATAGTTTATTATGACAAAATATTACCGTGATAAACCTTCAAATGGCAAGTTTTGTTTGAAAGCTTTTAAAAATTAATGATAGCTGTGATTTCACAGCAATATGTATTCAATGTGGAAAACAGATGAGCAGGGAATGTAACAAATTTGGTCAGAAGTTATTTTGCACAACTCCACTGCATAACTATGCAAAAAAAATTTATTGTAAATTGTATGAAGTGGCAAAAAAAAAAAATTATTATTGAATCTTCTTCAGCTGCACAAGGAAGTTAAAAATGTATTAAATTCTGATCAAGTCTCTTTTTAAAAGGAAATAATTATTTCTTTAATCACTCGATTATTGAAAAAAATAATGACATTTTATATTATTGGAAACATGAACAGAAGTTTCCACTGCTAAAAGAGTTAGCACTTAAGTTACAAGCACCACCTGCATCCTCTGTATTTTCGGAAGATTGTTTTCATTATTTATGAGAAAAAGTGATCAAGGCTAGAAATAATAATTTCTCCACGTTGAGGTAAAAGAAACAGAAATGAGCGATAAACTGATGTATTCATTGGGCATGTATAATTTTAGTAGTATTTTAATAATTATAATAACAAAATTGAATAGAAACCATTAACATTAGATTATTTAAAAGTATAACATTTCTAGATTTCTTTCAATTTTCAAATGACATTAACATGAAATATCCAGTATTTAAAAAACGGGATAAATTTATTATTTGGCCGGATAAAGGATACCGAATAATACTCATATCCGGCCCAGATATCCAGCCGGATAGCTTATCTGGGACACCCCTAGCTTTTACCTTTAAGTCTTCACATACATTCCATTCATACTTGTAGTTTATCTTCTCAAGCAAAAATATGTAGTTGTAATATTTTAAATGTGTTGAATGAGCCACAGGTATATAAAAATATGGTTCCGATTATGTAAAAGAACACCTTTGAGGCTACAAATGGGACTGTTTACAAACAATCACCATGATCTAGGTTCACGTAAGAATCCAATTTCTCTAAAAATACCATCAACATCCCAGCAAAAACACAAGCAACCCAGTACTTAAAAATAAATGAAAAAAAGACTGATGTATTTTAAAATCTTGCATATTGAATCAAATAAGTTCAATTATTTTAGCCTGGATGTCAATATTTCAGCTCCAGACTTTAATAAATCTAGGCCATGAACCAAATTATCCATTTCATTTTGTTTAATAAAATGCAACTGTTTAAAAAGTAATGGATATCATTCTTCAGATTTATAAGTAGAACTATTTTTATTGGTAAGATTAGATTATGAAGTTAATGAAATACAAACTGGCAGCTGTTTATTAGGTGGAACTGGTGCAATAGGTGATAATATTTCAAGATATGTTAGCTTTGATACATTTGTAATTTTTAAATATATCTTGATACATCGATCATACAGAAGTAGCAGTCTAAAGTATGATTCATTCTCTCCACATGTGAGGAGTAGCAAATGGCATCTATTACTATTACATTATCACCTATTTGGATCCCAATGTACACTGCATATTAATGCATATATCAAAAAAGGATTTTTTAAACTATATTTTATGATTCCAACTATATTTTTTATTTTTATAAAGTGTTACATGTGATTTTATATTGTTTTTAATATTTCATACCTTCATGATTCGAAAAATATCATATTATTTTATTTAAATTTAATTTCTTTGCATTTTTATATATGGTAGGAAAATACCATTAAATGGCCAAAATGATGAGTTATATACTTTTAATTTTGTTTCTACCAATATTCAATCATTTAGGTATAAAACATTTGTTTTCAAAATAATATTTTCGCTCTTATTTTTAATTATATTATATGCTTATCAGTTAAAACTAATACCATTTTGGGAAAAAACATGTGAAAAAACTTTGACAAATGTAATTTAACAGTTCAAAGAATCCAAATTTTTCCAATCCTAAATCCAAATTTTTTGTCTTAAAATTTAAATAGCAGGTGGTAAAATTTAAGTAGAAAGTGAAAAACTACAACAAGAGAATATCGTTTGAAGGCAAGTGAACTAAGAACTGTAGGGTATCAGTGAATCAGATTAAGCTCAAACCTCGAATACTTATGTAACAATTGCTGCAAGAATAAAGGTAGGTAAAAAGTTTACTTCAGGGTGGCCAACAAAAAAGCCTTTTATAAACAAGAAAAGTTGTGTAAAGAAACTAAAAGGGTGCAGAGACGACTTAAACTGGACTTTAGATCAATGGAAACATGTTATATGAACAGAGTCACTTTTTGTGTTGCGATATGGTAATCCAGATAGAATATGTAAAAAAAAAAAAAGCTGAGTCATATAATCTAGAGTGTACAAGTTCCGCATTGAAACATAACAAAAAAATCATGGTATGCATTTGCTGTTCATGAAGTGAACAGCAAAATGCGCACCACAATTTTTTTTTTTTTCACTCTATTTCATGAAATGAAATGGAGTGAAAAAAAACAAATTTTTTTCACTCCGTTTCATGAAATGGAGTAAAAAAATCTTATTTTCAAAAACCTAAATTTTTATTTATTTTTTACCTTAGTATTAAACTTATGTATACATATTAAATCCTATTGAATTGTATTAAAGCAGCTGTTAAATAATGCACATTTGACTGCCTCATAAGAATTAGACTGTTTATTCGTAAATAATATAAATTCATATTTAAAAATTTCTAATATACTTTTTTTATTAAAAAAAAATTTCTTTTGCCATCAAAAAAGTCTTCCAATCAACATTAAATAGATGTTTAATGCAGGAAAAAAATTTGACAGCTTTTAACTGACAGTTTTATTTGCAAAAAATATTTTTAAAGTTAAAAAAACATTTAAAAGTGAAACAGTAAAACAATAGACAAGAGCAATTTAAATAAGCAAAGTATATAAAATATAAAATAGATATAAAGTGTACTTTATAAAGTAAATATAATATAAAACCTGAAATATAAATATAAAACCTGATTTCTAATAGTTTCTATAGATTTAAATATTTTTTTGCGATGACCAACTGGCCGAATGCCCAAATCTAAAAGATCTTCTTCAATAATTATACTCATTATGACTTGTTTAAGTGTAAAAAAATCTTTTTCAAGAAAATTTTGATCATATTTCTCCATTCCAATTGCTTCCAACCATTGGTTAACAGTTTTTAAAGTTGAATAATCAAGGCTTCCATCACTAAATCAAACATAAGATTAAATAACCAAGGTTTTTATTACTTAATCAAACATAAAATTGAATAATCAAGGTTTTCATTATTAGGCTAAACATAAAATTTTACTAAATAAAATTAAATATGTCAAAAGTAAAAACTGATTTTAAGTTTATACTAAGATTATCACACGTCCTCTTTTACTAACTTGATTACAACCTTACCCTCATTACTACCTTACCCATGTTATTACCTTAACCTCCTTAACCTTATTGATACCATAACTTTGTTACTACCTTAACTTTGTTACTACCTTATGTACTAAATAAAACCAAAAAGCAGTCGTAAATTTTATGATTGTTTTAAGCAGTTTTCATTAATGCTACCTTTTATTAACTGTTGAAGAATCTTCCTCTTTTAACAATTCAGGATTTTTTATCCAATTTTCAAGTAAAGAAACAACCTCTGAAAACTTTGGTCGCATTAAATGATCTTTTTCCCAACATCGTAACATTAGGTTATGTATGATCTTTGGACAACCCTAGAAATACTCAAATGTAAAAACAAATGATCTAGAAATACTCAAATGTAAAAATAAATGATCTAGAAATAATCAAATGTAAAAACAATTGATCAAGAAATACTCAAATGTAAAAACAAATGATCTAGAAATACTCAAATGTAAAAACAAATGATCTAGAAATACTCAAATGTAAAAACAAATGATCTAGAAATACTCAAATGTAAAAACAAATGATCTAGAAATACTCAAATGTAAAAACAAATAATCTAGAAATAATCAAATGTAAAAACAAATGATCTAGAAATAATCAAATATAAAAACAAATGATCTAGAACTTAATTTTAAATAGTTTAAAGTATTAAATTGTTTGTAAAACAGGTTTTATTTTTACTGTTTGTAAAACAGGTTTTATTTTTACTGTTTGTAAAACAGCTTCTATTTTTTCAATGACTCAAAAGTTTATTACAATTGTTTAACATATACATATATAGTTAAATAGATATACAAAGAATTTTATGTTTTAATTACATATAAAAATATCATGTATTTTTTCTTTACACTCAATCAATTCCAATTCGCTTCTAAATCATTTATCACATTTATATCTTAAAAATTTAACAAAGTCCTAAAATCATGAAAATTTTCCTAAATTTTTTTTTTCTAATCACTAAAACAATAAAAGTTGCACACAAAACTTTGTTTCAAGAATATTATTATATTATATTGGTATTAGGTTTAAGTAAGTGTTGTTCAAGTTAGATTTAAGTGAGTGTTGTTTAAAATGTATATATTGGCGTGGTATTAGGATTTAATAATAACTTAAAACTAGGGTTCGTCAAGCACACAGGTGCCATGCTGCCCACTACAACTAGAATGAGACAATTTTTTTCACAAACACTAATTTAAAATATAATTTATTTTAATCTGTTAGAGTTTTTAAATCAAGTAGTTTGGTTTATTATATTGGCTTGTATATTTGCGGTATGTATGAGTAGCTTCGTAGCTTTTGTCCTTGTACTTGTCTTATTGCTAGCCTTATTGTACTCTTCACACTCTTCACACTAGAGCAACTAAGTTGCGATTGTGATTGCTGTGACAATCACAATGGTTATATAGTTGTTTTGCCTCAGACAAATTGCTAAATGCTTTAACTGCTTTGCGTTTTTTTTGTTATAACATTTTATTTGTTTTCTAAATTAGCACTTATTTTTAATTTTTTGAAGTGGTCTTAAATGTTAATATTTGTGTAAAAATCTGTTTTCAAGTAATTAACAGTTAAAGGGTGCTGAATCTCATTGTGTTCAACCAATAGTATTGCAGTACGAAATAAAGATGCTAAACGTCACTTTTGGAAAACTTATGACAATTATCACTTCAGATTTTAATTATACATTTAAATCTGAAGGAAAAAAAGTTTAACTAAAATCAAGTCTAAATGCCAAATAGTTTTTACTGGACATTAGGAAAACTCTTTTTTATATAATTATAATACTTTTATATAATTATTATACTTTATATAAATGTCATCCTTCTGATATTCTAGAATACGCTCTACAGCTTTTTTTCAAAACACTTTAAAAAAGCTGTTGATTTTTTTTTATAAAATAAGCTAAATTAGATGCCTATAAATGCTATTGAATAAACATTATTGAAGAAATATGAAGAAATTCATTAAAATCATTAGTTTTATAAAATGTTTTACAAAAAGTTTTTACTAATATACTTTTTTTAATTGCGTTTTTTATGAAATACATAAAAAGCAACTTTAGGCATTTTGAAAAAAGGTTGTAGCACTCTAGAATACAAACTGTTGGGTAAATTGAAAACAATCTGAAGCATTTTATAAAACCTCTTAGCAAAATCTTAGCAAGCTCAACTCATAAACAACAATAAAAATTTTTAGCCATAAAATATGTACAAACTTATGAGAATAACTACTAAAAATAATATGTTTATAATAAGTTATTTGCTTTTATTAATTATTATTATTTTTTTTGTTAATTTTATTTTTTTTATTCAAAATTTTCACTTCCAACAAGGCTGCAAACAACCATTATTAAAGTTGGAAGTTACTGGAAGTGAAAAGATGAAGTTTATAAAGCAAGATAATGATTGACAGACGACTTAAAATATTGCAAATTATATAAATCAGGAAAACAAGATAAAGAAAGTGAATTTCAAAGAACTGATGTTGGAAAACAAAAACTGGGCGAATAAAATTTTTTGGAGCATTTAGAATCAGTCACAGTAAAAAGGTGAGACTTAATAGAATGACAAGTAACACAAAAATGAATTTTAGTAAATGGCACAAGAGATGCTAGCTCTTTAGAGCAGTGCCCATTATAGTATTTATAGAAAAGAGAAAGAGAAGCAACATTACAACAATATGAAAATGGTTGGAGATTGGCTGCAAGAGCAGGACAAACATCGTTGTATAAGAGAATAAGAGCATTATTCGAAGATTTAACCCAGATATGGCAAAAATATTTGATACAAGGACGGATTTGAGATTTATAGAGACAATGAATAGAATCCGAAGTAAGAAAGTGACAAGCACGATAAAGATATGCAACCTTAGCAGATGCTAATTTTGCAATGGATTTGATATATGGTTTCCAAGAGAAATTGGGAAAAAAAAAATTAAAATTCCTACAAGATTAAGGGTAGATAACTCATTGAATACATTACCATTCATAAATATCTAGATTATTGCAATAACGATTAGCTGAAAAAAATTAAAATTTATCTGACTTAAAATCCAGCCACTGTGAGCCCCGTGTTGTAACAGAAGTGAGATCCTCTTCAATGCAAGAGGGGGCATTTAATCCAGATAAAATACTTCCTCCAAGCAATCAAAGAGTGTTGGTTTCTTATCATGACAAGAATAAATGGTAATATTATCAGTGAACAATGTCACTTTAGATGAAAGAATATCTGGAAGATCATTAATGTAAACTAAAAAGAGTATAGGACCAAGGATAAAACCTTGAGGAACCCCTGAAGTGACAGAAAATGAAGAGGATTGCTGCCCATCAAAAATAACTTTAATACTACCATTGGTAAGGAAGGATTCAATAATCTTGAAGATGTTACCTGATGTAAGAAGTAAGCTTCTATAAAAATAATGTAAGAAGAAAGCTTCTATCTAAAGCATGATAAAACCTATCCACATCTATCTAAAGCACGATAAAACCTATCAGTTATTACTGTTACCAAATCACCTGTAGAACGAGAAGATCAAAATCCATAATGATGATCAGAAAGTAAGTTATTAGATTCAAGATGAAAGGTTAAGTAATTGTTAATTAAAAACTCAAAAACCTTGCTTATGATAGGAAGAAGACTAATGGGATGGTAGTTAGACAAGTCAGATTGCCCTCCAGAGTTTTTGAAAATAGAGATAACAGATGACGCTTTTTAGCAGGCTGGAAAATAAGACTATGATACAGTCCACAGTTAGCAAAAATCTGAGTTGACCCTTAAGTTAGTTCCCGAGAAAACCGCAATATACCTGTGAAAGCTTATGACCATGGTTTTATGATCATTATTCCAAAATTGTAAAAATTTAAATCATCTGCCTACGTCCGAGAAAGAAAATCAATTTTGAAAATTTCCTTTATTGCACAAATATGTGAAATGACAGCATGCCCAAAATTTTGCATTTTTAAATTATTCATAATAAAATAATACAAGCAACATATATAAAAATACTTTAATTCTACATGACTTGACATGGAAACTCTCTTTTAGAATTCTTTTCTCCTTAAAAGATTTTAAAATCTCATGAAACATTTTTTCTCTAATGCTGATTATTCTTAAGTAATTTCTTGCATTGGCTGAAGCTCACATCAAAATTTCTTGCTGTTGAAACCAACAAGGCACATAAGAAGCCTTTTTCCATATTCTGGATGATTTATTGGGCGTTTGTACCTTTCCCAATGTAAATTAAAGCAGTGGTGCATTGCCTCAGTTGTTTCTTTGCTATAAAAATCTTTTTCTGTTTGACATTAACATCTTTTTCTGTTTGTCTTTAACATGAAAAAAAAATACTGCATGAACTTTTGGCGTGATACTTCCAATAAGCAAGGATTGAAAGGAATTCTTGAAAGCATCTATTATTTCTTCAAATTGGACATGCAATTTGTTGCCAAAACAAGATAATATCAAATCAGCAAACTTTTGCAAGGTATCAATGATGGGAAAAACTTGAAAAGCATTGTCCTTTTCAACAATAGTTTGCAAAAGATCCAGGTTTTTTAGCAGCTTATTGCAGTCATTGCCTGCAAAATGACCCCCGTGAAAGGGCTGTTGCTTTATGTGTAAAGCTTGAAGCCAATCATCTGCTTTTGGCCATACATCTTTTTTTCTTGAGCACCTTCAGCCACAGCCACAAGAAGTTGTCTTTTCACACCAGTATTTTTTGATGTTTGGCATGTAAGCAATCGTTTGCTAGGAGGTGAATAATCATTGTGCTGTGGTTCCAATACGGAATCTCCAAGACAGACTTTTGAAAATCCTCCACCCCCATCAATCCCCAATTTAACTATATGGTTTGAAAAAATTTTGCGTGACAGAAGTAGATCTTCAATTAGAGAGTTCAGGCTTTTACAATGTGCAACCGCATGATTTGAGTTTGTTTTGTCAGAGTTTGTAAATGCCATTGCTGCCTGAGTGAAGCTGTCTTTAAGATTTTTGCTGAGATCTTGAAATTTTTTAACTATGTAAGGCTCCAAAACTTTGGTTGTACTAACATTGTTGATTATTTGCGCTAGCTTTAAAAATCTAAGCTCAAAAATGCTTCCTTCACAGATCTTGCATCTGGAAAAGTGCCTTTTCCCGGAATTTTTCACACTTTTTAGTAGTATAAAATATTATGAAATCTAACATGGTAAATAAATATAAAGTTTTATTGTTGATTGTCTTTACTTGCTTGCCAACATGCCCACAAAAACTTTGGCAAGCGCATAAAAAAAAGGCGCTTGACAAAAAATAAAAGCGTTTTATTTAAATAGTAACAA